CAGTATCAAATGTAAACCTCTATCGTACGTCGCGGGACAAAACAATAGGAACTTAAAATGTCAGTTATTGATTTTAAAATGAAACAACTCGACTAAGTATTCTTATTGTATTTCTATAAATACTAAGTTTTTAAAGTACAACCAATGAAATACATATTTTTTAATTTATTTTATAAAACATATCAATTTTATCAGTTATAACTCGACCAGTTTTAACTTTCACACTGATCCATATCCACACTTTTTTTGAGCCCTAGTGGAGCAGAAGGAACGTCAAGAAGTCCAAGAGGTCTTTAGTGTATAGAAAGCATATGATGTTGAATAACAGTACAATATCTAATGACTATAATTAGAACTGCAATTTGAAAAATAAATTTTACTTGCAAGGTCTTATTAGTAATATTCATCTATTTTTCAGACTTTGTTGTAATTACTGCAAGATATGTACTCGCTTACAATCGAAATCCAAGATGCTCTTAAATTCAGATCCAAAGCAGATTTAATGCCAACTAACACTTAAGTTCAGGCTTCAGAAATCAATTTTATCTCTCAGCTGTACAGTGTGCTCTAACTTACCCTTCAGGGTTGGGTAGAGTAAAGGCTAGAAAATTTTTCTCAATCAGCAGAGATGGACTACAGATTTGTATTTTTCAGTTAACTTTCTATAAACTCATTTTTCTATTGTAAAGAAATAAGTCTTTCATATTTTCATCTTTTCATGAAGAAAAGAATATTTGAAATTGAGTTTTGACATGACTTGTGATCAAAAACTTCTCACTCATCCATCTCTGTCAGTCACCGGTAGAGCACACCGCGGATTCAAATTTTTCGGACCCGATCGAACCATAATTTGATACTCTCAATAAAACTTTCTAATCGGAATTCGATTGTCAACTGGAAGATACAAGATATTTTTCCCGGCTTTTTGTATTTGATGACTAGCGTAACCTATATATTTCTCAAATGACTAGAGCCCATCAGATCTAAAACTCCTAGACCCGGATCCTTCCGAGTTCGGAACCAACCTGGCGGACTCTAGTCAGGATACAGGGTACGAAAAAAAGCTGATCCTTCACATCTTTATTTCTCTCCTAATTATTTTTAGGAAAAGCCGTTACTATTTCTTGTAGTGCTGGCGCGCCGCCTATGATTCAAATTATTATTTGTATTTGAGTTAAATGTTCAGTATCATAGAAAAAAAGAATCCAAAAATATACTTTAATATTTTTTCCAGTACTCTAAATTGATTTACAGGTAATTCAAAACGTATCTGGACATTTAACTGTATTTTTTTCCTATTGGTCGATTTATAGAACAATGATATTGATTTCGATATGGAATAAAGTATAGAAATTAGGAACCATCAAATGCTAAAGAGAAAATATGTTTGTTCTCTGTTTAACGTGCACAATACGAAGAAAGAATTAATTGGTGTCTCATAGAATATTTTTTATTTTTGTATGTAAAAATCTAAATTTATCTTTTTTTTTAAATGTGTTTTTTTTTGTTTTGTAGATTCAATTATTTTCTCGTTGTTTATATGTATCATGTCAATTCCATTAAATTCTATTGATTGTCCATGTTTAACAAATGATTGTCTTCAGATTCTAATTCAACATTATTCAATACATACAACAAATGATTTTGCTTTATGGTTAATAAAATCTCTAGATAAAAATAAACATTTATCATCATCAATCATTGAATGTATTCAATCATGTATTATAGCTCATACAGCAAATATTGAATATCGACAAATATCTAATAGAAATTCATATAAATTAAATTATTTATTATTTGATAATGAAAATATATTAAAAGATAAATGTCATTTAATATTTATTTATGAATATTTTAATCAAAATCAATGGAATAAATTTTTTAATATATTTTTACTTCGTTTATTTCTTGAAAATGAATCAATTAAAATAAATTATATAAATACAAATATAAGTTTATTTGATTTAAATTATTTTTATTATAATTATTGTTGTTTAAATGAAAAAATATTTTTACAACGAAAGAATTTATTTGAAAAATTCTTTTTTTTTAATCAATGTTTTCATTTAGAAACATTTGAAAATCAATTAAATTTTATTGAAAATAATCAAAATTCATTTCAAATATTAATTATTGATGATTTTTTTTCATTAATTAAACCATATTTAAATCTTGATAGACGTATAAAAGCTAAAATTCTTCAATTAACATATCGATTAAATCGTCTTGCACAAAAACAATCAATATTAATTATTAATGGAATTATTTTGAATACAAAAAAACGTATAAAAAATGTCCAAGAAAATTTTCTCATCATAAATGATATACGTTTTGATTCATTTCATGCCGATAAATATATTTTATTTCAATCATTAACAACAATAGAAAAAGATATTTATATTAATAATCTTAATAAAAAAAATCAAGATAAACATTCAATTATGTCAAAATTTGATCTTGATGATTGGATAAATATAAATGATGGTGGGTAAGAATTTTGTAAAACTAACACGTTAGAGGGGTAATGAACATACGCTAGTCGTAAGAAGTCCCGCTATCATGTAAAAACTCTAGGACCAGAAAAATAGACTCTTCTAGTTTTCTACTATTTAAATACTCTAACTTCCATATTCTTATTAACAAATAAAGATTCGCATGTCTATAT